TTTTCCGCTGAGGGGATTTTTGGGCTGGAAATTGTTTGACTAATTGCCAAAATATTGTGTAACACATATTGTATAATATGACCTTGGGTAACATGGACAAGTAAGGAAGTGGACTATCATCCTGAAATTGTATTTAAACCCTGTATCCAAATCTGTCAGACATTCATTTTTTATCTTTCATGATTGAGAATTCTTTTGCAAAAGCTTATACAATTGCATCTTAAATAAATATGCTTTTTATTTTTTATGGTCTCCTTGGTCTTCTATGAGATACAGATTGCTTTTCTCACAGTACCAAAAGACAAAAAGATATGATGCTGGAAGATAAGCCCCTCAGGTCAGAAGGTGTCCAATATGCTACTGGGGAAGAGCACAGGGCTAGTACTAGTGGTGCCAGAAAGAATGAAGCAGCTAGATGAAAGCCGAAAGGACACTCAGCTATGGCTGTATATGGTAGTGAAAGGAAAATCTGATGCTATAAAGATCTATAATCCATAGGAACCTGGAAAATAAAATCCATGGATCAAGGCAATTGGACATGGTCAAACAAGAGATGACAAGACTGAACATTGACATCTTAGGAATCAGCGCACTAAAATGGACAGGAAGGGTGAATCCATTAATATACCTGATGGATGACCATCAGGTATACTACTGCAGGCAAGAAACCCTCAGAAGAAATGAAGTAGCCTTCATAGTCAATAAAAGAGTAGGAAAAGCAGTACTCGGATACAATCCCCAAAATGACAGAATGATCTCAGTTTGAATCCAAGGCAAACTATTCAACATCACAGTAGTCCAAGTCTATGCTCCAACCACTGGTGCTGAAGAGGACGAGGTTAACTGGTTCTATGAACCCTTACAACACCTAGAATTAATATGAAAAAGTGATGTCTTTATCATCATGGGGGATTGGAATGCTAAAGTAGGCAGCCAAAAGATAACCAGAATAACTGGCAAGTTAGGTCTTGGAGTACAAAATGAAGCAGGCACAGGCTGGTAGAATTTTGTCAAGAGAATACGATGGTCATAGCAAACACTCTTTTCCAA